GGCGGCCAGTCTGCATGGATCCAGCACGTAAGCTGTAGTTGCCTGTGGTCTATTTCATCCGAGTTGCATCCCCTAGCTCTTTATGGCCCGCTTTCAGTGAAGGCAGTGTTTGTGCTGATTGGCTGCTTCTGATGCACTCGACATAGTCACTTCTCCTTATGTACAGTAAATAGACTGATACCACGGACTTCTTTTCCAAGTTATGGATGTTGGTACAAGTGAGATCTTGGAAACTTGGAATAACAGTTTTGAGGGTTTTTTTTCCAATGTCTTTTAACCTATATAGAAATAAAAAGGGTATTTATTTAGGATGCATGTCACAGACATCAGGGGATGTATTAATATAAGGGTCTGTTTCTCAGGCTGTAATAACATAACCATCTAGAACATTTTTGCACATGATGGATTTCATAAAAACTGTTGCTTAATGCACATTTTTTCCCTGAAGGTTGAGTGGGAAAGAACACAGTGTATTCACAGGTGTGGCTATTATACACTGCAGCAGTAAAGGTATGTGTGTCACTTGATAAAAGCTCAGTATTTTCATTAAAAATTATGCTCATAATGACTTGTATGAGTGCAGAAACAGGATGGAAACTTTTCGCATACAGTCTGAATTGGCTTCCTACTCAAGATTAGAATTGTCTTATCAATATATAAATTAAAAACTCCCCACAAAATCCAACTTTCCTTACTCTCTTCAGTTTTCACACAGAAAGGAGGATGACAAAATACAATAGACTTCAGAAACAGTGTCTCTGAAAGCTGTGGGAGTAATTAGAAGGCGAGTGTAAATGGTGGGAATATTCTAAATGAAATTCAAGTAAAGCACTACAGACTGGGAGTGAGCAGAATTTCATCCATATTATCTTTATTCATGTGTTCTGTTTACACTAGCTGATGAATACAAGTGGTTATTCTATCTGTAGTTACCTTATTTTTCAGTAAATAAGGGAAGCTTTACAGCCTAGTTTTAGTGGATAAATCAAGTAATGGCTTAATGCCTCAGACTGTTAATGAACTGTAGGGATCAATGCATCAATTTTCTTTATCAGATAATTTATATAGGAAGCAAGTGGGTTTTATGAGAACTGTACCATTAATATAATTTCAGGAGTGTTTGGTTTGAGGGACGTCCTCTGATAATTATGCCAATGTTATTTTAGTGGAACTCTTGCAAGGGTCATTTCTCTGAAAATTCACTGGACGTAGTATTTCTGAGGACAAATTATTTACAGCTTTTAATCATACTGGAATGATTGCTCTTAACTCTTACAACAGAAAGCAAGTCAGTTGTCTAGTACCCGTACTAATACGCCAGCACAGTAGAAAGTGTAGAGAGAACTAATGATCTGTAACGTGCACACTCATTTGTGCCAAGGCTGTTTACTTGTGAACATGTTTTGGAAAAGCTTCCATCTGCGGCAATGCCAGATTCGCAGTGTACCCCATGCAACAGGGCCCACACCCAGGTGTGCAACACTTCCTTGCACCTCTGGCCTTTTCTCAACCACTGTAGGTACAGGAGTCTGAAATAATCGTGTTAATCTTGAGAGATGATGTGAAAGTTACGCTGATGGGACTGCTGAAAGCCTGAGTCTGCAGTACAGGTGCAGCTGCATGTTTGCATGCAAGCATTTATAACAGCTACGTGTTTAACTGATGCGTTGTTAAGTTCTTTGACAACAGTCATAAAGTTAGAAGGGTGTTTGTAGCTGCCGTTGTACTCGGTGCTTGATATGTAGGCTAGCAGTCCATTAATAGCTCTGCATACACATCCTTAATTTAAGAGCTCATCCCACACAGGGAGAGCAACCTGTTAGCCTGAAGACAGGACTGCAGAGGTTGAAATTTCAAGCTCTTACTTTTTCTGGGGAAGTTGAGTCCATTGTCCCCAAAGAGATTATTAGTCATTCCATACATTTGTCTAGTATCTTTAATTTGTCCCAGGTGAAAACATCAAATGAATACAAACCAAAAATAAAACTGAGATGTGATGCTCTCTTAAACCATGATTGCTGCTTCTAATGACACCTCTTCCTTCTTGTAGATAACCAGCTAGAGACAGAAATCACTGATTTCTATGAAGAGACTAAAGTAAAATTTTCCGACCTGTCTGAAGAGCTCTTGTGGGAGTACATCCATAGCGGGGAGCCAATGTAAGTAAGACCCTGAAGCTATTGCACGGCACTTGAGAACAGCCCTTAGGGTACGCTATTAGCCACCAGCATAAAACACCTTGTCCTGTGCTCTGTGAAATTTTGCTGTGCATGTATGGTAAGTGATAGGATGGGTGATGCGAGGTGGGTATTCTGTTCTTGTCTGGAACTCATTCCTCCAGGGAGAGTGAGCTACCTTTTTAGTCCCCTAACAAATTTGAAAAGGGAAGACTGTTGAAATACTCTGGATTAGAGCAAGCACTCGTGCAATATACGATTACGTGTCTGTTAACAGAGGCATCTGGGGATCTTGGATACCTGAGCCAATGGCTAGTTCTTGTTATAAAACAGCTGAATAGAATGAGTATTGGAGAGCTTTATTGGAAGAAGTTGGAACTTTTAGTTTATCAAAATCATACTGCTTTGATGCAAGAATTGGCAACTTAATTTTCATTTATTCTTGTGGCCAACTTACATGTGTTCTTGTGCCATAATTGTCTCTTAGCTGGTGTGTTTCCTCTACCCTTGCAATACACTAATTACCTACAGACAACATTGATTCCACAGAAGAAATAGGATGAGAACAGAGTGCCTACCTACTCCTAAGATGAAGCTGACTAGACTGTTTAAAAAAAAAAAAGTACTTGGAGACAACAAGGGAATGTTTATGACTTTATGGAATTTGTCTTTCCTTTGTGTTAGTGAAGGCAAATCAGGCCACAGGTAGCACTATGGACTGCATATCTGGTGATCTGAGGTGAACTTTTGACTCTGTAACTTCAGTACTGACTGTGTAAGAATATCAATCATGGTGGTTTTTAAACTCATTTGTGCTATAAAACAATAGTCATGTTTTACTGGGAAAAGAGAAACCAGTGTGGACTTTGGATTTATTTAAGTGCTTATGTGTAAATGAAGTGTACTTTCGGAACATGTAAGGTTTCCAGCTTGTGAAAGAGACTGAAGCTAAACTGGATTATGTGGAGAAAGATGTTTTGGCAAGAACAGTTTGTTAGAGAAATTCCTAGTTACATTTTTGGAAGGTGATCTTTAGTATGGAGCTGATCATAAAGTTGTAGTTTGAAGGAGAAATGATCATGGGTTTTATGAGAATGTCATGTTGAAAAATACTTTGGAATACTCTGATTATTTCCTCTGGAAGATGATACACTTTTGCAGTAGTGTATTGCAGCAAAATGGCTCACAAGTAGAGCTGGGTAATTCTGTTTGTTCTGCTAAACAGGGTGTGTGACAGCAATGGTTTCTCTGAACCTTTGGTCTCTGAAAATGTTTTATTAATCTCTGGAGCAGAAGCCAGTCAATCTTCATGCATATAATCAGGAGGATAGGAAGCATTTGCTCTGGCCTTGTAAATGGACTAATATAGTCCTGTAAATTCTGCAGAACAGTAAGAAGTCTCTCGTATGTGTGTGTTGGTTGTTTTTGGGGGTTTTATTTGTCCCCTCCTCTATGGCCAGCCATACTGGTTACACATTTATGTGCATACAGGCTTTTCTAAACACTTACTGTTCAACTGATCATATGTGTATTTTTTTTTTAATGGTGACTTAATTTTGTGAAATGATGCAAGACTTAATGATCACGTGGGAAAATTAAGTTTTTTGATGTTGAGGATTGTAGGCAGTTCTTTTTATGGCAAGGACAAAATTGGCATAGAGTGTTTTAAGTCAGTCCGTGGTGACAGAGGGACTAATTCTAAGAGTATGTAGCTGACAAAGTATGAATAAGGGAGGATGGAAAAGCACTGTCTCAAGGTAGACTGTGGCTAGAAAAACCCTCAAATATAGCCTTTCCCTTTCTGGTTTATTCCAGTGCCTCTTTCCCACCGAGGATTTTCTGCCTGCTGGCAGGATCTCTTTCATCTTTTGTGGCTCTGTGCAGAAGGAGGGCCAGACTGTGGTAATACTAACTATTTTGGGCTTGTGTAATGAGCAGAATTAATTTCTGCCAGCCTCTTCAACCCAGTTTTTTAATGTTGCAATCTTTGCCCTATGAACAACTTCCTCTGTCTCTGCTTACAACTTCCATTCTGAAGATCCTGTGTGGTTTTTGGTAGTTCTGCTCTGAGTGGTGGCAATGAAACCAGAGGACCGTACTGTGCTCTGGGGAAGAGGTGACTGCAGAGGCTGGAGCTCTACAGTTTCAGACTGTGAAGTAATAAAATATAGAATGTACATGTCTAACTTTCTTCTGCTGTATTTCTCTGAAGAGTTGTTCCCTTCAAGGGTATAGCAAACATATCTTTTAGATTTTGTGATAGCTTGAGGCTATCAGCTCTTAGAGCATAAGAGTAAAAACCTTCCCAGGTGCAGGATTACAGAAGTAAGGGAAGCTGTACTGTTCCTATGCTGGAATTAAGCTCAAAACTGTAGCAACGTGATAGATTAAAACCAAGATGACTCCTCAGTATGAAATAGTTGTTGTACATTCACTAAAATTTACTAGCAGATCTTTTTCTTGTACCTGCCTGTCTCTGCTCCTTTGCAAGTTCCTTTGCAAATGGAAACACCTCACTGACAGGTTCCATGATACGAGTGTGCTGACTGGGCATCTAGCTGTTGCCTGGTGCAAGAGTTGGGTGACCAAATCCTGCTTCTCCTTACCTCTGTCATGCCAGTAGCTTTTGTCTCTGTGCTGTACAAAACCACTAACTTCATATTTCAAGGAGCTAAAGGTAGGATTTGTCAAATTTCTAGGTATGTGAAGATAACTAAGCTTGGGTGTCCAATCAACTAGCTAATGGTTGATAGAGGTGCCAGAAATGGCTGTACAGCTTCTGAGGTATTTTAAATGTTTGCTTCAGTAAAAATTCTGTCCGTGATGTACCTAGATCTTTCTGACTATTAGTGAAGCCCAGTCACTAGCTCAGATGGACATTCTAATGTAGCTGAAATTTATCTGTATTTCTACTAAGCTGACTGTTTGGGCCAAGACATGTATAACTGTCATGCATGTGCTCTTGACTTTGGAAACCCACCTGAAACCCACCCAAGCATCTCCCTTCATCTGTAAGAGCAGTAGTGCTTGTTACTGCAGTAGTGATTGATTTGGTCAGTGGCTCTGTGTTGGACAATACAGGTATTGTAGACATGGATATACTGTTTTGTGGTGTTGACTAAAGTTAAAATTCTGCAACTAATAAAGGAAATGTGCCTTAATGTTGCATTTTCAAGAGTTACCTCTGTTACTTCTTTCTTAGCATATTTCCCCCATTGTATTGTGGGTGGGTTGGTTGATTGTGGGGTTTTGTGGTGGTGTTTTAGTTTTTAAACCACTGGATGTTGCACACATTCCTGATGAAATCACTTATTCTCTACAACAGTCAGTCATTGAGAAAAGTTTTAGTTGCAGCAGTGATCTTAGAGTTTGTCAAAAGGTCTTTAAAGTGAATTGTATCTCTTCCTATAATGCAAATTAGCTGATGCTGTGCATAGTGTTATAAATGAAGGCCTAAAATTAGTGCTATGCTAATAAAAGTATCCAATTACAAAAGCAAGTCAGATTAGCCAGAGCTAGTAATGAGACCTGTGTAAATACTGAAGTAATGAGACCTATGTAAATACTGATATATTCTGGGTTTTAACGTGGAAGATGCCTGTTGAAAAAAAAATCAATGGAACTTTTACAAACTACACAGCCTCATGCTTTTGGACTAGAAGCTGTACCTGTAGTAGAGAATCCTACTCAGGATCCAGTGCCAGAATGTAATGTTCTGTATAAAAATAAACAAGATGTGACCAATTGTGTTAGTGTTGTCCCTGTGAGTACGATATGACTGCTTTTGATGGTTATGATGTGTTTTGCCTCCCTGACAGCATATACCAGAAGGACTTCATCCTACTGGACTGCTACTTTATTTAAAAATGAAATGACTTCTTAGTCACTCGAATATCCCTAATTTAGAAGGTGTAAGTCTTGAGTGTGTTATAAAAGAAGGAACAATTTAAACAAAGATAAAGCTCTACAGTGATGCTTAAAATGCAAGGCTAGAGGAAAAGCTGTGTTCCCTAGTTTATAGCAACTCAAAAATCCCATTTGCTGGGATATGGATTCCTCTGTTTCTCTTAAGAGACTATTGGAATGGGAATCCAGAAACAACTCCTAAAATGTAAAGAGCTGGCTCTGATGAAATGTCAGATGAGAAGTCTACAATCTTTGTGCAGTAACCTTCTTTCACAAGTAGTTTGAGTAATTCCATGCTATCTGAAGTCAATAGCTCTGAGACTGACTGACCTTTGCTTTCAAGGCTTGCTGACTTAGGCTTTCCAACTGTAGAGGCAAGCATGCTTCTAACTGCCCTGTTCCTTGTATGTGAACAGTAAAATTGTTGGGTCTGTAGCTTATCTGCCTGTATGCATTTCCTTTCCACACAGGGGAATTTGCATAACTACACCGAAAGACAAATTGGATTTCCAAGGCTACTTTCCGTGAAATTGCATTCCTGTGCCAAACTACTTGTATTTCCATGACATCTAAGAGCAGTGTTGTGAACCACAACTGTACCTACATCTCAGAGGGTTACACCAGAATTGGATAAGGCTGAATGGGATAGTAGTGGGGTTTGTATTTGAATAGGTTGCTCCTCCCTAAGAAAGTCTTATCTTCTGAGCCTCCTTTTAGATACTCCTATGATTGAGATCCACAAGATGCATACTACAACCATTTGAGCCCTAAGATGTCTTCAGTGTGAGCTCCTTTTTGTGCTAACACATTCCAGAAGGCCCTTCAGCCTCTGATGGAACGGAGGAAGGGTCGGTCTGCAGCTGGGCGACCCACTGGCAGTGTTGGTCTCGGGGCCGCTTGCTGTTACCTTTTCGGTAGACAGGACTTGGAGAATGCTGGGTAACCTATGGCAACACAACCTGACTGCAGTCAGCTGATGTGCCTTCTGCTGAGGTGACTGTGGCACCTGGACTGCTGAAACCATTGAAGACCTTAGGTTACTTGTCCATAGTAGGAATACTCATCCTTACACTTATCTGCTGATTTGTAAATTGAAGTGTTGAGCCGAACTACTAGATTTAATCTGCCTCTAACTTGGGTCTGGAACAAAGACTAGTGTACTCTGCGGTACTGGTGGATTATTTGTTTTCTCTGCTACCTTCACTCTTAATTAGATATATCCCATTTTTTGCTTTCTCTCCCCAGGGACAAGGCTGGTGGTTATGGAATCCAGGCCCTCGGTGGAATGTTAGTTGAGTATGTCCACGGAGATTTCTTGAATGTGGTGGGATTTCCTCTGAATCACTTCTGCAAAAAGCTAGCAGAATTGTACTATCCGCCCACTAAACATAATGTACAACATAAAAAGTATGATTCTATCCCTTCTGTGGACACTTTCGAGAACCTAAGTGATGGAGAAAGTGAATCTTCAAATTGCACAGAGCGCCAAGGTGCCAGTAAGTTGGACAGCAGTGGGATGTGTTCCTTGGGAGCTATTTACAATTCCAAAACCAGTTCTAGTGGCAGAACTGGTTTTATGGTGCCTTTGGAAAATCACAACGGAGTGACGGAAAGTGCAGCAAAACTTCCATCTAAAATTCTAGAGCTGATGGATGGCTTCAGAGCTTCAAAGGTAAGGGGAAAAACCAAAACTATTCATGACATTGCTGACTGATAGGACTGTTTCGTTGGACTTTAATATACAGCAGGTAATATTAAATACTTGAGCTGGGGTAAGACTGTATTAATATTTAGTAGAAAAGGACCACAGAAGTACCACAGAATCTAAAATAGCTGAAACTTCTGGTGCAGTGCAAACGTTGGGGTTTTCTTTATATTTGCTTTTATCTGTTCTGCAATTTCAGTTACTCATTTGATAAAAATCTTTGTTTCTTAAGAGAAAAAAGTCTGATTTATTTAAAAAGAAAAAAGAATTTTACTGATCATGAGCACAATCAAGCAGGAATTTACCTTCATATACTCTGCGAAAAAAACATTTAATATGGTTGACTTATCTGACTTAAAACTGTGACAAGAATTGTGTATGTTATGTTTCCTTTCTAACTTCTAATGCTTAGCACTGGCATTCTGTAAAAGATAGCTTTTAAATGTATTGTTCCCTATTAAGAGGACTTATTTCTTTAATACCCTGTTTCATGTTACACATGTGTTTAGCTGATAATCTCCATGCAGTATCTGATGGAGACATGCACCTAACAGCTTACAAACAGAAGGTCACATGCTCTGAGTGGCAGCCAAGTGTGAGGAGAAATGAGTAGCTGGACATCAAGTGCTGCCAGTTTTCCTACTCTCAGCTCTGGTGTAGTGAAGGCAATAGTGAAGGAGAAATGAACACCTATTGTTTTAATAAATCACTGATCTCCAAGTTATTTGTGTTTTAGGAAGAGGTGAAAAAACTGCTGAAGTGGCAGTGAGATGACAAACCTGGAACTAAAGATATAACAGATTTGAGGGGGATGGAGGGAAACATGCCAGACAGTGGACAATGGTTTTGCTCAAACAGCAGAAATTTGTACTTGGATCTGAAGGCAAAACCATAGTGTGGTCACTGTAGATCCGTGGGTGTGCTGCTGGCAGACATGCAATGTTGTATTGAGAGATTTGGAATAAAGCAGCCGTGAGATGGTTACGTTTGTGAACTTACACGTGTATCCATAGGGAGCGAATATTGCTTACTTGAATGAATGAGATGACACTTAGCATTTCTTCAATTTAAGTTAAAAAAATTATCAGCATTTTGTTGCACATGATGTACACTGTTTACAGTGATGTGATGCTGAATTTAGTTTTGTGCGGTGAAAGACAGTGGAGGTTGTAAAAAGAAGCAGAAGCTTTCCCACCAGCCCAGTGTAAAGTCATAGTATGAAGTGCTGAGTTTCATGTTGAACTGGTGGGAAATTATTTTCCTCAGGGCTTGGACCTTTGTATTAATTATCTGTTGTAATGAACACTTCCTGTGATCTGACAAAGCTCATCATCTCTCTACTTGTAGAATAGGAGTAAGAGCACAAAAGCATTTCATTTCACAGAAGCTCTCAAGCTCTATTCATTTTGATTCTCGAGTGTTCTTTCGAGGGCTTCGTAACGCAGAGTGTTATCTCCTGTGCTCAAAGATGTTGCCACCTATTTTACTCCAAATAGCTGCTGTTGCAGAACACAGGGGTATCCGGGCTAAATCATGCTTTTTCAAACTTAGTATGTTCTGAATTTGCACAGACTGATCTGTACTCAGACCTTTGAGGTTTTCTCTTCTTTGATTCCCCCCCGCCCCAAACTGAGAATTACAGAATGCTAGAGAGAGATTTGGATCAGCCAAGGTCTTGGCCCTACCATTCTTCCAGTTTCCAGGTGGTATCAGTCCAAAGGTTGGACAGGTCTTGGAAGCCAAATTGTTGTAGGCTAGATGCAGTTGGCTCAGTATTGTGAAAGCTTGGATTATAATAAATCCCATCTATACATTCTTATTAGAATAATGGAGAAAACTGTAAAAAGAGGATGAAGCTGATAAAATATACAGACACACAGTACCAGACTTTCCTCTCAAAGTATATCTCTTTTTCTCCATTTGATTTTTTTAAACAGAATGTCAATCCAGGTTTTTCCTTGACTGCCTTTGATTTTTAGAATAGACTATTTCAGTTGGAAGGCACCTACAGTGATCATCTAGTCCAATGGCCTGAGTTGCCTGCAGTCACAAAGAAATGGATTCTGTGATTGCTGTGTGTGCTTCCACTCGTGATGTACAAGCCTTGGTGTTTTAACTGTTTCAGAATACTGGAACTGCGGGATTGCAAATTGATTTCGAATGGAGAGGTATATATCTTCACGTATCGTTAACTTTCCTCTCTGGTTTGGTTAACATATCTCTGCAGGGTCAGTTAGTTTAGACAGCTGCATTGCCCATGGGTGGCTCTTCACCAGCAGGCACTGGCTGCTCCGCCTTCCTCATTCTGTATGTACTCATCCCATTAAGGAGTGTGTGTAGTACAGCTGTGCTCTCAAGTTCTAGTCGTCTTTATTTAATAAAAATTAAAGAAAAATCAAGATTATAGCAACTGGAGCTGTTGCACTGCCTCAGTGGAGCTTTCCAGTTCCTTACATTTTGCATAAATCAAATTTAATTTGATCTTTCGGCATTGGTTCAGATGCTTAAGAATGTTTGACCTTATGAAACAAGCTTATAGATGGGGATATGGAAAATATACGTATAAAGAGGTGGTCTTCATACAAAATCTGTAGGCTGCATTCCAGAATATTCTGAGTCCATTTTCTCTCCCAAACACTTTTGATCCAAGTCCTGTTGCTTGACTAAGACAGTGAAACCTTCTGAAAGGTAGGAAACATATCATAGCAATTTTGAGGAGTTTTCTTAAACTGTGTTGCACTTCAAGAACAATAGAGGTGTAGAATAATTGTAGGCAAAAGGTACAGTTCTTGTTTCTTGATTGCAGTGTTTTTAAACACAGCATGCTAATATTCTTTCCTACATGTAGGCTCTCTTTGTAGCCTCTAAGCTGAAGATGTTTGATCATCTGAAAATTAAAGGTCCACTGAAGGCTCTGGATATTGCAAGTGAGGTTGGAGCCTCTCTTTGTGGAACCGAAAGACTCCTTGATGCATGTGCTGCCCTTGGATTACTGCAGAAAACACCACAAGGTGACTGGTTTCTCTTCCTCCCAGCTACATATAGTACTGAAAGACATGCAGGACTGGAAGAGATGCTTCGGAGGTCACAGGGTCTGACTTGATATTGTGGGTAACTTGGATTTGGGGGAAAGGGGAATGGATTGTTGCATATTTACTTTCATTATTAGTAGCTAGAATTGTTTCCTTTGGGGAATATGTTCATTATCTAATGAACATACTCAGGTATTCTTTGAGGAATCCTTAGATTGCCTTTGCTCTCTGGATATAGTACTGACCAAGTTTCTTAGAGTTGAGTGGGCAGTCCCAGGGAGCAGTGTAATAGCTCAGGTGTATCATCTGCACTTGGGCCACAACAACCCCCTGTAACGCTACAGGTGTGGGGACGAGTGGCTGGAAAGCTGCCTGGCAGAAAAGCTCCTGGGGGTGTTGGTCAACAGCCAGCTGAATATGAGCCAGCTTTCACGCAGATTCACAGGGTGGTAGGGTTTGGAAGGGACCTCT